TATATTTGAGCCTAGTTATGAACTTTCTCTTTGATTCCACTTATTTTTTATCATATAAAACTACACCATTTTTAAGAATACAGACCCTGTACTTTTTAAACGTCTGGTAGGGCTACTTCTCAATAACACTGAAGGTTTTGTGTGTTTTTTTTTTTTAGTGTATTTCTAATTATCTTCACACATTTTTTCATATAAACTTTAATAGCACCCTCCCAAGCTGCATAAATGGAGTATGTGTATGTTTTTATGGCATTGCATGGAGCGTATTTATTGTCATGGGGAGAATCTCCATCTGGAAATGGTTATTGTTCATCTGCGTCCAATAACCCCCTTTTTATTTATTTATTTTTTTAATTTTTTTTTAAACGTTTATTTATTTTTGAGACAGAGAGAGACAGAGCATGAACAGGGCAGGGGCAGAGAGAGAGGGAGACCCAGAATCTGAAACAGGCTCCAGGCTCTGAGCCGTCAGCCCAGAGCCCGACGCGGGGCTCGAACCCACGGACCGTGAGATCATGACCTGAGCCGAAGTCGGACACTTAACCGACCAAGCCACCCAGGCGCCCCAATAACCCCCTTTTTAAAGACCCATTCATTGTGCCCTTTGTGCGAGCCCTATTCGAATGTATTAGGCACTGCTTTCTTTCTGTGTCCCATCGTTAATCATAGTTAGACATCGCTGGGAATATGGAAGATAGAGTAATCCCTGCATGTAGCCAACGATATGAACAACAGATTTCTCATGATTGGTGAAACAATTACCACTTTACACATATTTGTAATGTCAGTATCGAAGACAGTCTTTATATTTGACCAGCTCAGAGGAATGTGTAAGCTGTCAAGTGTATTCTTTTATTGCTGAACCGTACGTGATATTTCAGCCTTGTTTTTCTCTCCTTTGCTGTCTTTCTTTTCTTTTTCCAGAAGAAAAAAAAAGTTAACGCTTTTTAGAATTCACTCCAGAGAAGCCTTTATTTAATCATCCACGTGAGCTGGACTAATTAGACTTTTCGGTCCCGGATGCTTCCAAAGCTCTGAGTAGAATTACCTTCAAGTGTTACTTGGGGCGTCCCATCAGCATTCCAAAGCTGTTGTCTAATTCTGCCCAACTCCTCAGATTTTATAGCTATAATGTCTTTTATCTGACTTCCACTTTCTTTCAATAAAGAAACTGAAGTAGTGTTTTCTTTGAGATGTCTAGACCTATCGAAATTGATAATATCTGCATGACACAGTTCTAAGATTAATAAAGACCAGTGGCTGTGTTATCAAAAACCTGCCAAACATATTTATCTTCAGAGACTATTATTTTACATAAAAATCCAGCAGTGACTTTCATAACTTTTAAGCATATGGGCTGGGTTCATTAATACGCTAACTTCTTCACATTATTCATAGACGCTCTTCTGATTAGACGTTAACATGCAATATTATCATTAAATAGCACAGAAAGAGCCTTTATTTTCCATGAAGTCATTAAGCCAGCTGGTCCTTCTCTAATTTTTCTTTAGCATCAACTTTGTATATTAATGAAAACCATTATTTTGAAATATTTAACAGACACTGAAGAGAATGATCAAAGAATTGAGATAATTTAGCCTGAAGAAATAAAACCCGAGGAATGATTAAACTTTTAAAAAAAATCATGCAGAGAACAACCATTTCCAAATTCCTTAACGACACGGGAATTGGAAGCCAGCTAAGGTTCAGGGGGGAAAGTTATACATTTTAGAACTTTTTTTTTTTTTTAATTTTTTTTTTCAACGTTTACTTATTTTTGGGACAGAGAGAGACAGAGCATGAACGGGGGAGGGGCAGAGAGAGAGAGACACACAGAATCAGAAACAGGCTCCAGGCTCTGAGCCATCAGCCCAGAGCCTGACGCGGGGCTCGAACTCCCGGACCGCGAGATCGTGACCTGGCTGAAGTCGGACATTTAACCGACTGTGCCACCCAGGCACCCCGCATTTTAGAACTTTTAACAGAGTACATTGTGGTTATTGTATCTTCCTAGTAGGATGGTTCTAAAGCCTTCAGTTCTTGAATATATTTATCATTCATCCAATGGGTGAACACAGGTGGCCAGTTTCAGCAAATTATAGAGCTCCACGTTGAACTTGAATTTCAGATACACAGTATTTTTATTACAGGTGTGTCCATGTAATATATGGCAAGTGTCTTTCCAATAAAAATATGCATTGTTTATCTATATTTCAAATGTAACTGGGCATCCTGTATCTCATCTGGCAACTCTAGACCTATGTCTGGAGAATGCCATGTAGCTAAACAGACCAATGAGCCGTAATCACTGCGTTCAGTAATATGCTGGTCTACAATCGAAGGTCTACAACCTTCTCATAAATTCAACCATATTTTTAATAAAATCCTATGAAAATACTTTACCATCTAAATCAGATCGGTATGAAGCATCAATTTGGCCACAACAGAAGGTGGAGGGTTTATAGTGGCCTGGGATTGACCATCGAAACCTTCTCTCTCCTCCAAAAGCAGTAAGGTATGAGTCCCACCCTACCAATCATGGGGACTATTGTGTCTGTGTCTCACGTTTCACTTCATTTCATTTTACTTTATCTCCTCTCATCTCATCCTACCCTATCCTATCCTATCCTGTTATTTTTAATTAGAGAGAGAGAGGGAGCCGGGGAGAGGGACTGAAAGAGACAGAGAATCTCAAGCAGGCTCCACACTCAGCACAAAGCCCGACTTGGGGCTCGATCCCCGACCCTGGGATCACGACCTGAGCTGAAATCAAGAGTCAGACGCTCAACCGGGTGAGCCACTCAGGTGCCCCAGGTCACCGCCATTTTTAATGGCACATGTCAGTGATGGTCGGGCAAATTCAAAATATATTAAGAAAAGCTAACTCTGAATGCAATATATCCACAATCTTAGACTCACACGCAGTCTAAGATTGTGCAGGCTGCCCTAAGTATGGACACGTGAGAGAAGGAATGCACGCTTTGTACGTGCATTAAATCCCTTCTCTCATAAGAGAGCATGTGATCTGAAGGGAAGGAAATTCAATGCAACATTTATTACGTACCTACAACTGAATTATGCTAGACACTGTCAGAAACAAATCGGTGAATGAAAATAGTCATTGTTCTCCAGAATTCATTATCAGGTAGCGGAGAATGATGTGCACATAAATAGCTCTATTACAAGGCATATGGAGATAAATGGGTTTGCTCATTTTGTAAGCTTCAAAGACAACAGGTATAATGTGGTTTATATAACTTCCACTTTCAATTAAAAAAACCCAAAATAATCTTCATGAGACACGAATAACCCTATCAACATGGATGATAAGGGAGCATTTCTTAATTCTTCCTATGTATAATTAATAGAGTCCTTCTCGATAGAGTAGGATATGAAAGGAGATAATAGCATTTCAGCTTTCATGTGGCGACTTCTAGAATGTTGATGCTTGTCGGTAAGAAAGATATTCCAGGAAGGTGGAACCATATCAGCAATTATTTACTGTTCATTGAGTTTGAAAATTAAGTAACCAGAAAGCTTAGCAAACGTGGTCTCTTTGCCTCGACTACGTGAAATCCAGATTAAACCGGGTTAAGGCATGACTTCGGGGGTCAGGAGATAGTAATACAGAAAGGAGACACAATGGCCAAAGCAAGATGAGGCCACGATGTTGAAAAGTTACTATTATTATAATTTTTGGCTAAATGCCAAGGACTTCGATTCTCTCCCATAGCACAAAAGTCTGAGTGCTATGCCTAATTTTTTGAATATTTGATTTATGGTGCATATTTAAGAAAAGTATTCCCACAAATACAATGACAGGTGCCCCAAATCTCTGGACAAAATGGAAGATGCCTCTAACCTTTGTAATACCCCGAAATGGTGTACGTCCCGAATTTTTTACAGGCATACCTCAGAGATATTGCTGGTTTTGTTACAGACCACTTCAATGAAGCTAATATCTCAGTAAAGCGAGTCAAGTGAATTTTTTTTTTTTTTGGTTTTCCGATGCATATATAAGTAACGTTCACATAATACTGTAGTCTATTAAGTGTGCAATAGGATTATGTTTAAAAGAACATGCCCATACCTTAATTGACAAATACTTTGTGGCTAAAAAATATGCTAATCATCATGTGAGCTCTCTACGAGTTGTAATCACTGATCACAGATGACATTTTTATAGATATATAAACATATTGATATACAAACATCTATGTTTATTTATATGTATATACAGATACACATGCATCATACGATACACCTTGAAGAAGTGATACGTATATGTCACGTATGTAGTTATGTGTATATACACATGCTATCTATTTGAATAAATAGGAAATTAAATAAATCATATAATATACATTTTCGTGGAAGCAAAAATAATCCAAAAAATCTGTCTACTTTTCCCAATTATATAAACAAAACATGGGGTGCCTGGGTGGCTCAGTCAGTTAAGTGTCTATCATAATGTCACAATTTGTGAGTTTGAGCCCCGTGTCGGGCTCTGTGTTAACAGCTCAGAGCCTGGAGCCTGGAGCCTGCTTCAAGTTCTGGTTCTTCCTCTCTCTGCCCCCCTCCCTCACTCAAGCTCTGTCTCTCTCCCTCTCTCAAAAATAAACATTAAAAAAATTTTTTAAAGCAAAACAAGGACGCCTGGGTGGCCCAATTGGTTAACAGTTTCGCTCTCGATTTCAGCGCAGGTCATGATCTCATGGTTCGAGCCCCACATCAGACCCTATACAGTGTGGAGTCTGCTTGGGAATCTCTCTTGCTCCTCCTCTCCCTCTGTCCCTCCCCTGCTGGCCCCCACACTCTCTCTCTTAAAACACATAAACTTTTAACAAAGAAGGTAATTACTTGCAAAAAGGCATCTATTACATCTATAAATTTATACAAGTAAATCCTTTACTGTTTTTATATTTTGGCACAATATGGTGTTTGACTTTAGCCAAACACAAAACTAGATAGCCTGCCAAAAAAGGGGAGGGAGAGGGGGATAATTGAGACAAATTCATGTATTTTTATTGAAACCACACCATACCCAGTTCCACTAAATGCTAGTTTTAATGCACGCCACATTTTACAAGCCCGAAACCTCACTTACATGTTGGAGGCACAATTACATTTGCAGGAAGAGTAATGCTGAATACAGAATGTTCTTTTCTTTCTGCTGAACAGAATATAAAGTGATCGCGAGCTCGCGGGACCTGCTGCGTTAGATGTAGTCCATTAACAAAGGACCCGACTGGAATTCATCAAGTCCTCCTGGTTTTTAAACCTTGCTGTCAGCCTGGGTGTAAGACAGCGACGTTGAAGTTTGCACTCCGAGAACTTTACGTATCGTGTTGGCTTTTATGCTATCTGAGTGGATTAGTCAATGCTTCAAACTAAAAGCGTTTCATCAGAAGCACTGCTAATGTTATACGTCTTCCATTTCACAGATCTCAGTACAAAATGCTTTCACACAATGTCGGTGGAACAGGTTAAAATGTGATGTGGCATGTGCTGTGTTACACACAGGAGTCCTAGAAAACGCCTCCCCACCAAGATTTATGTGATTAAGGGGAGGCTAGGAACATAAGCAATGAAAACACCAAAAATTCAGGAGCGATCAGCACTCTTACTATTCACTTAAGGTTGAGTAGATCAAGGATTTCCTTGATCCTAGTAACCGAAGTTACTCTTGCAGGGACGTCCCGATTATTAATCAAAACATTATTTATTAATGTACATTTTTGAGAGTAGATTGAATAGAGTCCATTTCTAGAAACTCATTGGTGCATGTCTGCCTTCATAAATAAGTGCCATAAATGGGAAGTTGGTCTAAACGCAAGCCCTTGACACGATGCCAAGGAGCACTGAGTAATCACCAAGTTAAAAATTTTCAAGTCAAAGGTTTATTCGTAAATTCTGAACACTGATTTCTTGGTCACTTCCCAATGGCATTTCTTGAACATGATAACATGTATTATTTGTGTGTGTATTATGTATATATTATTATGGTGCATATCCATGAAAGCATATATATATATATACACACACACGGATGTGTGTGCATATACATATGTATGTATATATGCAATACATGAATATATATGCATATATACATGCATACACATGTATGTATGTGTGCATATCCATATGCATAGGTACATGCATATCCATGAATATATATGTATATATATGCATATTCATGGATGGGTGTGTGCAAATACATGCACATATCTATATGCGTGTACACATCCATGTATATGCATGCATATATACATGTATATATGTATATATGCATGCATATACATGGATATGTGTGTGCACACGTGTATGTGTATATCCATTAATATATAGGCCTACATACATGCATATACCTGTGTGCATATACATATATATGTATATACACCTTTTACATATACACATGGGTGTTTATACATATATGTATATGCTTGTCCATGCATATGCATACACATGCCTACAGTTGTCTATGAACTCACTAGTCTTATCTTAATTGAATTCAACATTTATGCACAGATGCAAGTACATAGATACTATATATATATGACATATGTGATTATATATATGTCATATATATGTATTACATACATGTGTATGTAATATGGTAGATGTAATTACATGTAACTCCATGTATAATTATATCCACATCTAATTATATTTTCTCAACCCAACTTTCTGCAGGCATAAACAGCAAGTAAATAAACCTTGGCTAGAGCAGACGCAAACCCCAAATTTCCGCTGCATTTTCCAGTATCTTTTGAAGTTCTGTGCTTGATTTTCCTCCAAGAATTCTGCAGGTTGGTAACTAAAGTATTAGTTCTGACAGACACCCACGAACGCGTGTGGGTCCCCAGCCAGGTCCCCGTTTTTCTCCTTTGAGGAACCCGCATCCCTCTACATGTGTGAGGTAGACCAGATACCTCACTATGCTCTGGGAATCCATTGTAATGTTGTGGTTCTGGGGTCCTGAGGCTGGCAAGGGGGTCGTCCCACTGGTCAGGGCCATGTTTACTTCAAAGGATGGCTTGAAATTGGACTCTTGTCTCCCTCTCAAAAAACCCCACAAATTTAAACTAGAAAATCTTTTTCACGTAGAGTACATTCTGTGAGCTCCATCGTCAATGCCGCGCACTCATCAACAGGTTACTGAAGTGGGTGCAGTAATAGACCATCAAGGCAAGGGAATTTCTGGTCGGTTATTTTTCTTTGAAGAGATGCTCGAATGCGATGGTAGAAGGCACTTCAATTAGTAATCGCAGCGCAAGGCTCAGTGAAGGCAGTGGTTTGGCAATCCACATACGGCCGCAACAAGCCAGTTTAATTGGCTCACCGGCGGTAAGAACCTAGTGTGGTAGATATTTCTTACCATGCTATGTATGGATCCTTAAAGAAAGAAAATCTCTGATTCCAAATGTTATTTCTCAGCTCAGGGTGTCACCAGGAAAGAAAAGATTGTCCTATTTACCTTAAAAATAAGCTGTAATTTTTTTTTATGGACCCAGGCTTGCTATATGTGAAATTGATGAGGTATGTGATCCTGTGGTTTCAACAAAGCTTGACGTGCACCTTTCCTCCATGTCTAGTCAGGTTGATGGAGAGGAGGTGAGACTCCAGGTACTGGAGTGGGAACATTTCAGGATATTCCCTCACTCATAAATACTCAGGATAGGTGAATGAGGCTGCGTCCACGTTGCTGGAACACCTTGTAACATTCTCACCTGAGATGTCACCACACCTGACATATCACCTCACCTGACGTATCATTCTACCCGAGATATTACCTCACCTGACGTATTACCATACATGAGTTGTTACCTCACCTGACACATCACCTCACCTGAGACGTTACCTTCGAAGGGACTGTCATCTCTCTCTATGCCCCACCCCTTTCCTTTCCCATGGTCTCCAGGACTGTCCCGAAAGTCAGATCCCAGCTGGCCCTGGGGTCATTTGTATGAAATGAATCCAGGCAGAAGAGAAGAATGCACTCAAATGAAGGCAATATTTTGCTGTTTTTTTTCAATCACAAAATCTGCTGGGAATATGTGTGGAAATGGAGAGAGATTGTGAATGTACTAGTCAAAGAGAGAGGAAAATTATTAAAAATTAGTTTAATTTTATTTCTATGGCTGCATCTACAAGAGCACCTGGGAGTGCCTTGAACTGTTTGGTGTGTTGACTGAATACTATGTAAGGTGAGATGTCGGAAAGTCGCCGGTGTGATGTGAAAGGGGGTGTATGAAGATGCGAAGACTCTGGGCATGCGTGAGCTGTCTGTGCTCTCTATGGGGGTGCAACATTCTCTCCCTTTTTAAGACCACCAAGAAGAATATTGATAAGCGAACCTAGCCCTTGTCAAAAGTGCTGTTATGTGTATGCAAAGCGCTATGGACTGGACCGTGTTCTCCCCAAATTTATATCTTGAAGCCCTCACTTCCCAATGTGACTAGATTTGGAGATAGGGCTTTGATGAGGTAATTAAACCTCAGTGAGGTCATGACTGTAGGGTTCTAATTCAATAGGATTGGTGTGCAAGGAAAGGCCATGTGACACAACAGCGGGAGGGTGGCTCAGACTCTATGTCAAGCAGAGAGAAGCCAGCTCTGCCCATGCCAAGATCTCCAACTCCAGCCTCCAAGACTGGGAGAAAGGAATATCTCTTGCTTAAGCTGCCCCGTCCGTGGGAGTTTGAGGAATAGACATCGAGGACCAGTGTGGGAGCCAGTAGGTTTCACTCAGAGATCTTTGATGACCCTAAGCTATCACAACATCCCTGGGGACCAAACAGAGACGCTGCACATGTTAGGGTCCAATGTTGGGGAAAAAAATAATTACGACGAGTGGGCAGTTCTCTTCTGGCACATGCTGCCTCAACTGTACCCAGACCTACATTATTTCCAGACTGGGAGTCATCCAAGAAGGGCCCTGTGAGTACATGCAAGGGTTCCCAAAGGGAGTCAAAAGCATTTACAAAAGTAACGTTACATGAAGAACTAAAAACATCAGACTTTTCAAGATTCATGGGCCACTGGCTCTGACTTCGCACATATCCTCCTTGGCTCAGAATGATTCTCTTGTAACTGAGAATGGGGACTTTTCGGAGAAGGGGCGTCCATTAAATGGAGTTGTGCTACAAATCCACCTCACCTTGGGCAAAGTAGGTCCAAGCCAGCGTGTCACTATTTCCCCTGTTTCTGAATGTATATTTGACTTGATATGCTTGATAACTGGCAGGGACCTGAACATTGGCTTTTTACCTTCAAGTCCGGATTATAATGGCAGGACCTGTCAGGTTTCTCCTTCTTACCAAAATGGTAAACCCCACCAACAAGAGGTCCCTAGAAAATGATGGAGATTCATGCTGTCCTTACAGTCTTGCAATAGGTAGGGGTAGTGGTTCTTAATGTATACTTGTTATGAGCTGAATTTTGTCTACTCAAAACGAACATGTTGAAGCCCTAACCCACAGGACGTCTGAATGGAAATGAATTGGGAGACGGGTCTCGGAAGAGGTGATTAGGGTAAAATGATGTTATACAGGTGGGCCCTGATCCCATGGGAGTGAGGTCCTTATAAGAAGAAGAGATTAGGACACAGACATGCACAGAGGGATGACCTTGTAGGACACAGGGAAAAGACGGGGTCTACATGCCAAGGAAAGAGGCCTCAGGAGGAACCAGCCTTGCACCCGCCTGAATCTCAGACTCCCAGCCTCCAGTACTGCGAGAAACCAATGGCTGTTTAAGCTACGCTGTGTGTGGTATTGTGTTATGGCGGCCGTAGCGAACTAAACCAATGCCAATTCAATGAGCCTCTTGGGCTTGGCTGAGGACTGGCAGGTTGTGTGGCGATTTCCTGGATCATGGTGAGCTTACTCATACGGTGTTGCTAATTTCTTTGCTGATCCACAAGTGGCTTATGTCGACCCTGAAATCTGGGAAGCATCTATGGATACGGGAAATTCTTTTGTGTGACTTTCCTAATCATCACAGCTCAAGTGTTGGAGGCGGATAGTTCAAGAAGCAGGACCTAGTAAGATATGCCATGTATTGCACAGACTTGCCCCTCCCCCCCCAAAGCTATCTTTATTGGAAGGATATTTGGTCCCTGTCCTATCTTAGGAGTCAGACAGTCTTGATTCTATCATGGAGTCAGACATATTCCTCGCACACAGTCTTGATTCTATCATGGTGATAGGACCTGTAGAGCAAGAAGAAGCAATTGCCTTGAGAGCCTTGGAGAGAAATGTTAACCAAGGGCAGCAAATGAATATCACACACACAAAATTAAGGGATTGGCTTCTCGGGTAACATTTTTGTACGGTCTGCTGGCTGAAACTTGCCAGGGCATTTGATCTAAGTTGAGAGAAGA